GGCTCCCGCGGTGGTGCCCGCAGCACCCACGGGCCCCTGCCTGCCTACAGTAAAACCCGCCACAGCCTCAACAGAGTTCAGTAGATTTTTATTGCTTTTACCGACTTTCTGAAACGTTACAAAAGATAATTTTATTCTAGCAGTAATTAAAACAACAAAGGCTGGATCTTTCACATTAAAGACAAATCTTGAGAGTTGTGTTTTTCTGTATAAACTGAATGTTGACTCTGCATTTGGAGCGATGTTTTCATTTGCTTTGGATTTTGTTATGAAGTAAGAAAACACCGTTGTAATTAGAAAAGCAGTCATAAAAACTTCGAACCATACAGTATGTAGTCACATTTCAAATAATCAATATTAAAATCAAAAGTGTAGTTCAGCTACAGAAGCTGAATCCTGGAAGACACCTTTGCTCAGGAGAATCAGCAACAGTAGAAAGAAAAACATTACAAATGATGTGTCTTGCCAATAAAACCGTTTAGAAAAGTATCGATTTTCAAACTCATTCCAAATAAACGTCAACAGTTACTAAGTTCAATATGAAAGTGTCTTTAGATTAACTTCAACGCCAACTACGAAGTCCTGCAGTTTTCACTAAATGATACAAAATAAAATCAACTTAAAATCATTAAGCAATTTGCCTTATTTTTAGCACTACTTTTACGCTGACTCAAAGCCGTGTGCCTCTAGTCTTAAGATTTGCTGTAAAATAAATTACTGTTGGTATAAACAAAGTCATTTCACACATTGGTACTGTACTTGATAATTAATTTGACCTAGATGAGTAATTAAAACATTACTAATCATATAAAGCGAAAGGAAAACTAAGATCATGGTGGTGCTCATCTGACTACCTTTGTGACCTGGAAATCATGAACCGTTCCATCTCGCGATGCACAGAACATATGTACAAGAGAACCCTTCAGAATGGCGCAGGCTCCGCGACACGATGCCTCTTTGTCACAGACCTATTTTACAGCCTTTTGAACCTGCCTTTGCAAAGGGCACAGATTAGGAAGTGACCATGTAAAAAGGGAGATGCAGGTGAAGCAAACAACAACTTACAGGAGAACTTCCATTAAGTGCAGCAAAAAAATAGCCAAGACAAAGAAAAACCGCCAGCGGGGCACCAAACACTACCCTAACAGGTTTTATGATTGACAAACTTGGCAATTTGGAACATTTCACTGAACAATCTTATAAGATATTATGTTGTAGCTGCAAAATTAATCTAGGAAGAAAGTGTAATTAACTTGGGCATATGTAAACAGAATGAAAGGTGTGTCATTGTAATACGTATGAAAATGCTACAAATGAGTTCTGCAGAATATAATTTAAACATGAGACTGCACTTGAAGTGAAATATTTTAGACGATAATTTAAATGGAGTGGTCAGAGTTAAGACCTACACTTTATGTAAACATTCATATTTATAAATAAATTAGAAAAAAGGAAAAGAGAAAAAAAAAAAAAAAAAACAAAGGAGAGAGAAAAAGAGGGACTTCCTGAGGTGGCTCTGCAGCCAGACGCACAGTAGCACTAAGCTCCATTCCGGGAAACCAAGGCATCTAAAGAAAGTGCAGGGCTGTTTATTTTCCTCTAACAGTTGGAGTGGAAATATATTGGCATAGTTTATACAGGGCTTAACCCCTATAAAACAAAAATCAGTGCACAGCAATTATCACTGCTCTTTTGCATCCATTAAGGCAAAACAAACATCTACTTAACGGTAAACTACATGCTTAGCTGTTTAATACTACATGTGATTTTAAAGCAGAGAAGATGTAAAATGAGCAGTGAATCACTTAATCATAAATTATCAGTGGGGTTTTACGCACTTCATACCAGATCTTCTCCTATTCATACAGAGGGGAAAAGTGCAACTGTAACATGCTACTGACCAAGAACAGCGGAACTAAAGGTCACTGTAAACTGCTTTGTGAGCCATGGTATTTCTGGCACTGATAAAAAATATCTAGACAATTAAAATTAAATAAATACTGTGATTAGACTTGTGAGGCTTTGGTTTTTTTTTCCATTCAGCATCCCTAGAAAAATATCTACTTCCTGTAATATTGACCAACACTTAACCCTTCTGAAGTAGAAGCCAGATACAACATGTACTGCACCAGGAAACCCTGATTCCAGGTATTAAAGAGTTAAAAATTGAAGAGGCTTACAGTCATTTTTGGGGTCTTTGGAATTTGTTACAGGACTGCAAACATTAAGTGTAGAACATAACTGGGAGCAGCAGAACGCAAGTAATGTGTTGTGGATAACACTACGTAAACTGCCCAAAGTATCTTCCCTCTTCCATAGCAAGAGCTACTCGGTAGTCAACAACTGACCTGCAGATGTGGTTTGTTTGTTTTGTTGGGTTTTTGTTTTGTTTGGTTTTTTCTGGGGATATTTGTTTGTTTGTTTGAGTTTTGTTTGTTTGGGTTTGGGTTTTGTTTGTTTGTTTTCAGTTTGTTTTTAAATAATACAGAAAGTTTTGGGAAACCATCTGCTAGTTTCACTGTCTCTCAGTTTGAGTAGAGAGAACTAAACACGGGCATTTTCTGAAAGCACACATACTCAAGCTAAGGCACAAGCTATGCTATCATCTAAGAATGAAGGAACATCTATACAGGTCCTTACACAGGACTGGTCAAATTGGTAATGCAGACCTCACTTGCTTCGCCACTGACCTGAGCTTTTGTTATGACAGTCTGGATACCGTTACTCATATTGCTGGACACTATGATTTACTTTCTTTAAACTGTCCTCTCAAAATTCAATCAAATAAAAAAAAAGGAAAAATAAAAAAGAAAAACATTAATTACACTGAAAGGGAACGGTATCAGCCCATGTAACTTAAATGCTATTTTTAAATGTTTCTATTTATTCTCACTGATTTTTTTATTTTTGTAACAGCCAATTATCTTCCACCTCAAGTGGTATGTTCAGATGAACTCTGCCCTCCTTCAGAATCAGCTCCTTTTCCAGTTGTTGAGAATTTTATCATGTGGCCCATGGTAAAACTCCCAACTCTGCCAAAAGCAGAATTAAGCAAACAGTATCTTCATTTTAAATGAACACAGATTCTAATTAAAGCCATTGCAATACACAGAAAGGGCTAGGGGCAATTCAGAATGTAAAAGAAATTATTTCAAAAATTAAAGCAAAAAACCTAAAGTGTAAGGCAAAAAAATATTAATAATGGAAACTGCGCAGGTAATTGATCAATATTTTTGTTTATACATAAAATTCTCATTATTTCAAATATTATAATGCTGAACACTAGAAATTGAAAATGCAAGTACAACTGCATCTTTAATCAGTGAGCCCTCAAAAATCCCATTTATTTTAATAAATGAATATTTACTTTTCCATCTTACATGATAAAAATTTATACTAATTAAAATAAATAAATGTTTAAAAAATAACTTGGTGTGCTACCATATATGCCCTTTACAATGGAGAGGATCAGAACTGTACACACAAATACCACGAACAATTTCTAATCCATAAAATAATACTGATCATAAACTTATTACAGAGTTAAACTACAGGTAATTTAGTAAAATACACAGTAAATTTAAAAATTAAGAAATCTGATAAGGACAGGAAGTACTCTGAATTTTCAGTCTTAGAGCTGAGTAAATCAAACTCTGAAATTTGATGGAAAAAAAAGTACCAACAGGAACAAGACTTGAAGAGAACTAGTGTGGTAAGTCTGTGTAACTTCCTAGAGACCAAATTGCTGTCTGCATTGTGTAAACATGGAGTGTGTCCCGAATGATAAATACTGAGTTAGGACTGTAACTACAGTTACTGCACTCATACTGCTGCTAGATAATAATGAAAAATTGAGAGTGATTTAATGGGAGAAAAAAAAAAAAGAAGGTAGCAGAAGAAGGTATTTTTGTATGTATCTTAAGGCTTAACTAACCTGACTTAGGGCTCTAGGCCACTTCTGTAAAATAGGAGAGACAGAATCCAGAAAACACTAGCATGTAGTGGAGACATAAAACACAGTAGTTCTTGTCAACAGCACATTAATATTTGTTCTATGAAATCACAAAAAAAGTATACCCTGCAACAAAAGCAGTAACCGCCTGCATGGAGAACAAACTTCTGTAGCACACATTATAAACAGAGGTATTGCAAAATTTTAAGCAATGTGGACCAGTAATCATCAGCAAAAGCTGATTTAACTTTTATGCACATGTTGATTATTGAAAATAATACGCATTCATTACAATCTTCCTATTTAAAAATGAAAATAAAATTTCCAATAAAATAAATAGCTGAAGTGTGATTACCACTCATTTGTAGGAAAATCTTCTCATTATGCAAGCATATCTACAGTGCCCTAAACAATGGCAGAATTAAATATATGACGCTCCTTAAACTGGAAATCACACTTCCATGGTATCATATCCTACAGCGATATATATACACACACAAATACACGCAATTCCCCTTGGTTCAGTTCTACAAAGATGTTTCGGCATCCACATATTTCACAACAGGTGAATCTTCCACATTTATTTTCACGCTTTCTGTTTTTTCAGGGCTGTTTGAAAGCAAAGAGGAAAAGGTAAGGTTTGGTTCACTCTAGTAAAGGTTAATGTTCAAACATTTTATACTTAACAATGAACACTGACTGAAAGTATTTATGTACGGATAGTTTTATGATGATGCATTTCTATTGCATTCTAGCAATTGTTAAATACTATTCACGGAACTATAAACTTAAAAGACAGAAAACACCAATATCTCATCTATAAATACCATTTCCAGTCCCACTGCTTTTACTGATTCTATTGATCTGAAATTGTTCTGCAAACATCTTAAAAAAAGAAAGAATAAACCAAACCATCTAGTTAAAAATACTCTAAAAATATGTAACAAGCATTCCTATTAATATTGCTTAATTACTGGTCAGGGAAACAATTCTATCCACAATACAAGATCGGGAGAACATTACAGCCTTTTCAAAATGGGAAACCACACTTGTAGTAACAGTCAGAAACCTGCCCAAGTGTCCATTCAAGGGGAATACTCTGAAGACAATGGCCTGGCTGCCACCTGCACAACTGACACTCTTTAGGGGCACAGCCACCGAACAGTGGCTTATCCAAGGGCAGATGGGAACGTCCTGAGGTAGTTAGAGGACAGTAGAAGAGCAACTGGAACAGCATAAGAGGATTGTCTAGACATGATGGACTTGGTCTTTAAGTAAAAAAAAAAAAAAGTATTAGAAATCTATGCAAAGAGAAAAATTCTGTGATTCCTCAGAAAATGTACCTTAATAAAATATCTAAGAAAAATTCCTTAGTAAGTGTACCTGGACACCACAGAGGCTGTAAAGTATACGACACACTGGAGGGAGTAAGAAAAAGCAATCTGGATTAGTCTGAGGAAGACAAAAACATCTAAAATTTTTTATTTTTTTTTTTAAGGTAAGATTTTTAAGAAGTAACACCAACCCACGCAATGGGTTGTCTGAATTCCAGAAGATGCCACCTGCTTCAAACTACAACCTGTTTAAAACCTGTACATCTGAAAACAGCAGTACCTACAGAACCAGTTTTACCACAGCACTAAGCCTCTGTCCATACTACCAGATGAAGACTGTTACTCAAACTAACCTTAAAAGAATTGAGATGAAAAAATCACTGGGCACTGGCGACAATCCTAAATTTCTCCAGCACCCACTATACAAGAAAGGACTGCAAATACCTCAAAACAAAAACCAATTGAGTTAAGGCTCAGGGAAGTCCTGGTGCCTTAACATTTTCCAGATTCATGTAGTATCAGACTGCTTCTTGAAAGGGCTGGTTTCTAGCACCAGTGGTTTTTATTCTCGATTTGTAGTTTTAGCAAGTTCCCTCCCAAGATGCATTTTTTACCGTAACTAATCTCAAGGTGAGTGTGTTGTGGAATCAAAGGGATACGTCTTACAGCAAAATAAAAGTTTAAAAAAAAAAAAATTACAAAAAAAAGATTAAAAAAAAAATAGATGGAATACTGAGTATTACCTACGTACATCAAAAAACATTGCAAACAGATCAGAAGCCTGATTAGGTAGTGCTGCATCTAATTCTGCATCAACTTAACCTACTCAGGAAACAGGAAAGCACAAGATGGAGTTCTACTAACTGCCTGAAAACCAAATCTAAAAATTGTCATTTTTCTGGAAAGAGAAACACAGGTCTGTACCTCTTCAAGCCTTAGACACCCAATGACTACCAGATAATGTACTAGAAACATATGCAAATTCTGTAACAGGTTTTTGAAAGCTTTTTCTGAAAGAAAAAAGCAATTAAAACACAAGGGTATACTGACACACATCCTCTGTTATCTATCTAATGCATCTGTTTTCTCCCTTCCTGACAGTCTGATTGTGTGGTACTCTGGTATTAAAAAATGTTTTAAAAATGCTTAAGACATGTATTTAAACATTTTAAATGTTTTTTAATGTTTAAATGTTTTTTAAACATTTTAAATGTTTAAACCATACAAGCTGAAGAGTCACTGAAAATAGCACCAGCACAGAGCCTCATCAGCTTTTCCTATCACAGTACCTCCAAGTTTTCGCCTTGTCTCCTTCTTCACCTTTGGCTGACCTACTGTTGGGCAAAACTAAGTGAATTTCTATGCCTAGTTTGGAGCAATGCATGTGGTGAATAAACAGATGGTATACAAGTGGCTAAGTGACCAGTCACTACTGCTGTTTCCATGATGCAAGCTCAACAGTACCCTACAGCTCAGCCAATGACGTATGAACACTCTCTCACAACCAACTCTTCCACTGAAATGTAATTTTACACAAAACCTGACAATTTCATATCTCTGAAACCTGTCTTCCTTTGACAGATTTGGCTGAAGGGGATCAACCAAGAAAAGATGCATGTACAACCAGCAGGATTGCATAAGCTTAGTTTTCAGAGTCAAGTGGGCCCATTCTGCCCTTTTTCCTACATAAAAACTGCTAAGCAGTAGTTGCATTGTGATTAAACAGTCCACAGACACCAGTCCCTACAAACTAGGAGTCTTTCAGGAAGGTGGAGATGTTCTACAAATATTCAGGATTTGCTCTGTTCCCCTTGATAGATTCAGCCAGACAGGGACTCAGGAAAAACCAACCAACCCACTCACAAAAACAGGGGGCATAAAGCAACGACAGAAGTTCTGGACTTACCTTTTATTCCCACTGGTATTTTTTATGTTCAGGATCAAACAATTCCCACACTCATGTATACTCTAGTAAAGCTTTTAGAAACCCTATGCCCTTCAGAGTAGCATACAGTTGTATTAAGCACATAAGAAATAACTTTAAACTTGTAATAATACATTTAATAAAATACCTGGAATTCATTATAGAAATTGTTTCACTTCTGAGTAAAGAGCAAAAATTAAATGCAAGTTCCTCAAAAGTAACAAGTCAATGCAGATTTACAAACCACATATGCCAATTTTTGTTGAGATACATTTCAAGAAGTACAAGTACAGCTATTAGCTGCTAAACACAAGACCATAGTTAGAAAACCCGTGAGTAATTATAGCTACCTCAGGTTAGCTCTGGTTACTTTGGCATTCTCAGTACTCATGGCAAGAGCCTTCCACTGTGCAGTTTTGGCCATTTCGTCTGATATGTTTACAATTGAGGGATCAGTGCTAAAGAACAAACATACTTTCTGGTTAGTATTCCATACCTTGCAACATCATTGTACTTACTGCCACTCATCATTTACATCAGTTGTGCCTTTGTTCAATATTTACGCAGCCACAAGTTGAGTTCGTATCTTACAAATGCAGTTGAACAAAAATGTGAAAATGTAACTCACTAGCACTGCCTTAACCACATAGCGTCTTTGAACAGTTTTCCGCATAGATGACCACTAAGACATTGAGAATACTTGAGAGAGACAGGTAATTTAGAAATGAGGTAACTTCACAAGATTACTTAATATGCTTAGAACTAATGAGATTAATCACACTGTTCTGCTACGGCTTTCATAAATCAGAATCATTTTAAGTTGCTCCCAGGAAATAATCAAGGGCAAAGGGGCAGATGTTAATAACGTTTTGAAACTGGTAACTTAGTTGAGATTTAAAACTGATGAAGAGCCTGCATTATCTCAGGCTCTATCTTATCTAGACTTCAAGTTGGGTTTTTTTTCCTGCAGAACCTTACTAGACAATTTTCAAGATTTTTTGCCACCAACTCCCAAGTCCTGGAGAAGTTCACCCTCTCAAGATGGTAAGCTTTCAAAACCTGTTTCTCCCTTTGCCCTCCACACATTCATATGTACAGTGGACTTAGGTGTTGTCTGTAGGTATGTTTCTTGGTTTGTTCCATATTTAAGCTTCAGAATGAACACAAGGGTATCTGTAAGAGTTCTTCAAACTGCCCAGAAATGTTTCAAAGCCATTTTTCCTCAGGAATCCCCACAAGATGCAAGACAGTGAAATATATAGCAAATACATGCATTACAGACAGAGCAATTAGCAACTCAAATGTTTTGTGAAAAAGCTTTGGCATTAAGCATTTCATTTGAGGTGCTAAAGTCTGATTAAGCCTACTCCTAGAGTAGACAATAGCACTTGGCAGAAGTATGTATCTAAACCTAAAAATCTGCCTGTTCCCAACTTGGATCAGGGTAGAACTGATACTACTCTAGATCTGTAGGAAAGCCTATTTTTAATGTAGGAACCCCCAGTACTAGGCAAAAAACCCTGGCAAGCTACCTGTCACATCTTCTGGGTGTGTTGAACTGCTGTAGAGTATCTGACAACTAAGCTGATTCACATGATTGGAGTACTGCAATGGATGGCTACAGGCTCTTCAGAAGAGATAGCCAAGGAAAAAGAGGTGGTGGGGTTCCACTGTATGTCAGGGAGTGCACTGACTGCCTCAAACTCAGTTTTGTGAGTGAGAAAGCTGAATGTTTGGGGGTGAAGATCAGGGGGAAGGCCAACCAAGCAGATATCCTGGTAGGTGACTGTTACAGACCACCCAACTAGGATAAAGCAGTAAGGTAGGCATGTACATTTGAGTGCTGCAGGAGCTTCCTATCAATGAAATTCCAGCACTTCCATTTCTGGAAGCAAACCAGTAACCCTGTCTTCACATCTACTTTCAGAAAATGACCTCTTACACTAAAACCAGCTGCTTGTAAAGGTTATTTTTTTTATATCACAGAAATTACAGATTTCAGCCCTCACTTAAATAAAACACTGAAGAACTGCACCCTGAGACATTTTTCTGACTAATCCTAGTGGCTGGTAAACACATGGCTCAACTGATGCTATTAGTTGCTTAATACTCAGTAGTTCATGCACAGCAACACACAAATACTCCATGAAAACTGACCAAGGAAGCTTCTTCAACTTGAGTACAGCTGGTCGAAATTGAGTCATCTGATCTGTTCAAGATGGTCATGTAAATTCACAATTAAGATGCAGTTCGGAAGAACAATGCAACATAAAAATGCTACTACAGCACCATGAAATAAACCTTCATACTTCCTAATCATGGCTGAGTTACAAGCTTTGGGAAAAGAAAAATTCAACTTGTACACAATCAACTTACTAGAAAGCGATTACAGCACACGATACAAAACTCTTAAGAGACCAACATTTTTACTATACCTGTATTTTAATTTTTTTACAGGAAATTCCAAATTTGCTTCTCCATATGCAAGATGTACACTTTCATTGTCCCCCGTCTGAAGCATTCTCTCTGCCTCCTGTAAATTCCAAGTAAAAAAACCAAAATGTATAAAATTACTTAAGTAGGAAAAGTAGTATCTCATGCTGAAGTTCATTTCAGTAGGGCTAAGGGGCATTTCCCTGTAGGTCCTGATGTTGAATGCAGGAGATATAGCTTAAGACCTTTTTTCTTAGAAGTGTTTTATCCAGGTAGGAGGATAGGGGAGTGGGGAAGAAGGGTGTTATGAGTTTTGTGAGAAATTCAGTTAGCTGGTGTACAGTTAGCTGAGACTTCTATGGAGAAGTTATACAAGCTATATTACCATATTATTTGTAACTAGCGTTGATTTTAACTACAGCTCTGGAAACATACATGAGCAAGATGCCCCTAATATGAAGAGTTCTGTGATTAATTTAAGCAGGGTAAAGATCCCTACTCCACTGCTTTTCTCTCCTTCTATCCTGATGAAAGACAAAGTAAACAGCATTTTGTGCTAAAAAAATGCTTCTTTCTACTTTGCTTGCTGATTTAAATTACAAATAAGAGTCATAGTTCATAACAGCATCATTGGAACAGTGACTATTCCTTAACTTGATTGCCAGTAATAGTTCCTCAAGCACTAAATCTCATTAGTAAGAAGTTTCAAAGTACGTATTTGGCATAGCAGGTCATATGCTCAGACCACTTAAAATTCTTAAGTCTCATTGAGTATTTCCTAATAACTTACACATGCTTAGTTTGATTGTTTTCACACTTACTGCTTTCTCTTTTTTCTTTTTGTCATCTTCTTTCTTCTTTTTACTTTCTGGCATAAGATCATCAAGCCAGCTAAGCTCTCTTTTGGTGAAACATAAATCCATGAGCTTGCGAACGAACACTAATGCTAGAACCTTAAGAGAACCATAATGGAATGATTTATATTAAACTATTTAAATTAACAAAAATGCACACACACTTTCAGAATCTTTAACTCTTTTGTAGTACTACTTTTATCTTACCACAAAGTTAAATAATTTCCACCTTCAATAGCTATTCACAACTGAATTGTTTATTTTCAGTAAATGAAAAGTCCTTGTGTTTCAAAAGCGAACAACTTGTACTACAGGTTCTTTTGTTTTCTTTCCCACCCTCTTCTTTCTCAAGGCAGCAAATACATTTTGAAGAGATCCTGGATGATGCACACACTCTTGGAAAACTATTAACTTGTAAAACAGAAAACTTACCATCATAGGGAAAACAACAGCAGCTGCAGAGGCTTTAATCACCCACAACAGAACTAGACAAGTGAGCTGAACAACTGTAAAAATATGGACTTTCCAGAGTGGCACATAACGTAGATAAATCAGGTCGGGCTGATGTTTGGCAGGCATTCCAAACAGTTTTATACGGTCAAAAAACTGCATTGAGGAATAAAATCACACTTCAGTTAATTATTTTCTTCCCCTCCAGAAGAAAATAAACACGCTTAGGGGACTCTAGAAGCATAAGGTAATCCCAAATAAAATACTCATTCAAGTGAGTGGATATTGGTGTCATTTTGTTTTGTAGTGTTTCTCCCCACCCCATTACCACTACAAAATTTCAGGTTATTTCAGAAAATCTGTTGCTCAGCTACCCTACTGAAGGAATAAATGCAAAAGATCTGAGAACTGAATGCATGACATGGTAGGAACCAATATCTGAACATGACACTCAGTAAATTATACTACATGTTATTCAGACAATATGAGCTAACTTGATTGTTGTTCACATAAAGTAATGTGTCATTTAGTGTTAAACAAAAGCAAACTGCTCATTGAAATCAGACTTTACCTGAATGCCTTTTAATGAAGATACTCCCATGTAAAGAAAGACACCATACAAAACTGGCATTGGAATAAACTGGGAAGGAAAAAAAAACACCCACACAGTTACTTGTGGAATTAACATGGCATAACACAGCAATCCATACTAGTGAAAGACATGGGCCAAGTTACTTCTGAATTTGTATTTGAAGTAAACAAATTCCGTAAAAGCTGAGACTTTCTTTATAGAGAAAACACATGCATCACTGAGCAGCTTACAACTGCTATGCCTTATTGTTTTCAGACTTTTACATACTTTAACACATACAAATGGTCAACTATTAAGAATTTATATGTAGTTCTAATTATTAAACTATAGCTGTGTCTCCATCTTCCCATTATCTAAACTTAAACAGTCAGTAGAAGCTACCTTTTTGTGAAACGACTTGTGATCTGTCTTTGAACAGTTTTACAAAGTTCTTTAAAGGTATGAGCAGTTATGCAATATCTGCTATTTTATCCCATAACTGCTATTTTGGCAACAAAAAGGTGGTTTTTTTCATTTCTCCTTTTAACTATTGGATTTGAAACAACTAAGCACAAGTTGAATGGATTTTACTCAAATCTGAGCAAAAAGCCAATTGAACTGATAGGTTTTCTTCCAATGAAGTCTTTGGAAGGGCACTGTAGATATAAATAAATATAAATTAAGATATAAATTAAGAGACAAAGGTAAGATGAGGTCACAATACAACCTGTTAATCTATTACACCGTGACAATTCGTAAAATAATCTTGACACTATAAATAAATGAAGTTTAATAAGCTGAGATAAGAATGAGAAGTGAAAAATGTCATTTCTCATGATCACTTTTTGAACTAGAGGAGTTTGTTTCTTCTGCTCTAGTATATTACTTCTGCTCAAGTAACTTTGTAACCTTATAAGACTCCTCCTCTCTCTCTCTCTCTCTCCCCCTCCTCCCGTTTATGTACTCACATGAAAACTATAGAAGGAACTAAAGAAACTAAAGAATAGCTGCCAAGAAAATCAGGTAGTATGGAAAAAGGTAGCTTTCTTCACTGCTCACTACGTTTCTAGCTTGCTCAGCTTTCATTTTCTTACACATTCCCCCTGGTTTTACTCAATTAACATCAGTTGCTAATAAAGCAAATTGAGAATCAGTCCAGGCATGCTTCAATTAACATAATAAAACTTCCAAACATTATGAAATGCTAAATCCCAATATCAGAATCAAAAGGACAAAGAAAATATTTTGGAAAAAACTGTCTTTTACCTTTAACACTGAGGTCATGAACACTGACAGCCCCATCAGGACAAAAATCATCAATCCTGTCACTCGCTGCTCCCGGATTCCCAAAAACTTTGGTTGCTCTCCTGGTGCTGAGCATTCAGATTCAACTTTCAGGCTGTTAACATGACTTATAGACAGGACAGTTGCAGCAACAAACCACGGTAAGCCCATGATAGAACATACCCCCAACATAACACCAACCATGAGCAGATCAAGATGATAGCCACAGCCTTTCTGTGAAATTAAGCAAACAAGTAATTTTATAAACTTTCTATTTACATGATAAAATACTTATAATTTGGCTGGTAAATAACAAATAACTACAGAAGTTGAATACTTTGAGAGTGTCCACAAAATTATATTTGTTCTTTATTAGTTAATATACACATTTATCAAGTAGCTGTTGGTAACGTTTCACTAACTCGTAGAATGAACCTGATTTAAAATAAATTTGACTTACACAACATCAGAGCTTTCTCAAAATCACTTTTACCTTCAGCTTATGCTCTTTCCTGTTTATAATAACAGCTGTTATTTGTTGATCCATGAAAATGAGAATGGTACAGAGTAAAGCAGGAACAGCAGCTATCAAAAGTGTCCACCAAGGATTGCTTCCAAGAGGATCCATGAACCATCCTCGGTTTTTTAGGGTGGGCTGAAAAAACAAAGATCCACAAGAAGAATTAATTGACTAAAATAAGATGCAGATTTTTTGCTATAAACAGCTGCACTGAACAGATCAAGAGTCTCTTAAATAAATGTTTAGATTTTTTTCCAATGGCTTTGATCAAAAGACTGATTGAGCCGTTACATGTGAACATTACATTTATATGTAATAGAATCCGTTCCATTCCTTCATTTTTGCACATTTGCACAAAAGAATGTTTCCTTTTCAGTTACACTATAAAGTACAATGTCTTCTATCAGATGAGACATACATCCCAAACAGAAATGAGAGGTTACTTCATCAACTACTTCAAGTAAAAAACCATGAATCTCTGTCTCTGTAACAACTCCACCGTTCTACTGTCCACAGAACTGCAAGCATGTGAAAAGTTACGCTTTTTTAAAAGGTTGCATTTCTTACTTCAAATTTCTCTGGAACATGAAGCTTAGGAGAAGGTACTCCTACAAGATAGTCAATCAAAACCATTATTACTATGGTCAGAAATACTGCAAAGTCACTGATGGTTGAACGCACCTATAAAGAAGAAACTTGTGTTAACTCTTGCTTTTTCATCACTGTAATTTGCATATATAGAAAGACAATTTTCTCCCCTATGAAAAGTGAAGTCTATTTATACTATACTACACCACTGAACATTAAATACACTTTCTCTTCTTATTTTAAAATGTAAGCTGCCTGCCAGCACAGCATGAAGTTGCAGAAGGTAAGTATTCTGTACAACTGTTCATCCCACTATCTCATTTAAAAGTGACCTACTGCAAGCAGTGAATTACTTAAAATAATTCCTCCCTCATCTTCCTGTCCCCTCAACCCTACTACGATGCTGGGCCATCACAGCTAGTGTCTTGTAGCTTGATTCAATAACAGCACTGTATTGTTCCAAAATCAATATTCATACACTTGATGTTTTAACAGACAGGAAAGGGATAATTTGCAACAGATTCAGGTTATCAGAGGTGACTTTATTGAACATTAGGAACACATTGTAGGGATGGACTGAGGTTTACAAAGTATCTAACCACTTTATTTTGGATAGCAGAAATAAGTTGTGTAAATTACTCCTGGGATAAACATTATACTAGCCTCTAGTCCTGAGGAACCACTCGGAACCCTTCAAATGTCAGCAGCTTGGGGAAAGCAATAAACGTTCTCTACAGCTAGGTAAGGAAAACCTAGCAGCAGTATTCTCTCTCCAAATGGTACCTGGCAATACCCAATAATACAGGGATACAGACTGCTTTAGCTCTTCTAATGTTTGTAACATCTCGTTAGCACCACAGGGAAGTAGAAAGTAAGCACCAAATCGTCTGCAGCCAATTTCTTTCCTCTAATGTCTTCATTTTTGGAATAATCAGTTAATTTCCTTGTTTAAAGTTTGGGTTGGTTTTGGGTTTGTCTTAAAAGAAATCTCTCAATACAAATTTCTGAAGCAAACCAGAAAATTCAACTCCTCTAAGTTATACTAATGTGTTTATCACAAGACAAAAATAGTCTAATCAGAATTACCTTAGTTGGGAAATAGCGTTTGGTCTTGAACTGCTTAAGGAAAGAGGAGAGGAAAAATGTTGTAAAGAATAATATGACAGACCAGAAGAGAACATCTGGAATATATGGTCCGTGATTGCCACAAGCTGATCCATGAAACACACCATGCAATTCTAAACATTCCTGCAAAGAGAAAAAACTTCTTAAATTTCTATAGTTTATTAATGTAGTACATTCAAGCTAACTTGTAGTGTTTGATATAAAACACATTTGAGAACTTCTACAGTCCCAAAAAGGGGGTTCTTTCTTTCATCCTCCTGAAATGCCAAAAATGTGTGTTGTCTGTTCCAGAAGAGCCATAGCAACAATCACTGATTATTTCAGGATGCCAAAATGCTGGAAGATACCAGAGAGGAAACAGCTTCTTTATATTCACTTCATTTCTATTTCTCAAGGCATTGCAAAATTGAATGTATAAATAAAGTCTGAAGACTAAGTCCAAGAAAAGCAGACTGTCAATATCAACTTTTAAGCTAGCAAACATAAAAAAAAAATCTCTTCAGTTTCTCCCATCTTTATTCTTGACTTTGTTCTGCCCTGATACAGTTAAGGAACATTAGACTCTTATAAAACGAGATTTACCCAACTGTATGAAGAAAAAGTAGAAAACCATTGTAAATTATTTGAATGAAAAAGAAAACAAAGTCAGATGATCCCTACAGAAAAGGCTTACTGAAATGCAAAGTAAAGAATTAAAGTAGACACACAGTCTATGAGGAAACAAGAATAAACTGAGTAAGCAGCACTGCCACAACCTAGTCTGTAAAACAGGTTAATCTATCGAAAATTTAACTGAAGACAAAAATTCATTCTGTTAACAATGTACTTTGATTATAAGCACCACCAAATTCTGGATCAGTTCTGTACCTCTGGGAAGACTAAAGATGCTTAAGAGAATGAAAAAGTAATAAATATAAGAAAAATATAAGAACTATGTTTGAAGGAAACTGCCATCCTATGTGATTATGGTAGAGCAGGAGACATTGGTCGTACATGGAAAACACCGCAGCTAAGCCTCAAGTAACGCACTGAGATTTTTCACAGTACTTTTGCTGTGCCTACTTCCAGTGTGAATGTGTAGGCTCAGACAGAAGGACAGCCCATACCTGGCTATCTACTGCCATCTTAGATAGCCTAAGATGGCCAAATTAGGCACACAGACTTAAGAAACATATCACAATTTATAGTAGATTCAAATCTTTCAAGTGGAAGATAAGTGGAAACCAGATGCCAGGTATGCAAGTGGCTGTATGCAGCTGTGTGTAGGCAACTGAATCCCACCCAAGGAACCACTGATCAGCAAAGATGTTCCTTCCCTAAAAGCCTTCAGTATTGCTTCTACATGATTACTTCCCTCCTCTAGATACTGGTATGCAATATCCAGTTCAGAAGGTAATGCTTTCAAGTCTATTCCTTCAAACTGTTCCTCCATTTCTTTTAACCTTCCATTTTCCAAGTAGTTATTTTCTTCCAATCAATATTTAGGTAGTTTCTTTGATTCTGTTGTAGTTTTATACCAATGTCTAACAAATGAAAAGTTTTAACTGCCGATTCCATCTTCTATCTTCTTAAAAATACTT